AAGGTAAGTGGCACTACGATAAGAGTAATCATTAATCAATTACTCATTTCTTTTTAGTTTAATAGTTTGAACAATGCCTGAATTATGAATGCAGTCATTACCATGGTTGTAGAGGGCTTTTGATGCTCTGTAAACCTGAGATAATGTGAAGTGGGTAATCAATAAGGAGACAGTTAATCCCTGCAACTGTGTGAGGGGTGCACAGCTAATTCAGCTGACACCAAGTCTGTCCTTCTTTCAAAGGGCTGTAAAGGAAATCAGCACTGATGCATTAATTTTTTTTTTCATCTGAGGCAATATTTAGAATCCAAAACAGGTTGGGTTGCATCTCTCTTTGTTCTCAGAGCAGTTAATGCCAAAATGCCTTCTCTTCGATTCAAGGCTGTCAACTGGGGATTTTAACCTTTCCAGTGTGAAAATGGTAGGAAAAATGTTTTAAAACACAACTTGGGGTTCACTTTCCTCACTGAGTTCCAAAAGTATTACAGATTTAAGAATCCTTTGTTGATTAACTTTTTTCATTTTTGCTTATCCTCATGTTTGTTTTTACCTTACGTTTCAGCGATGGGTATGGGCATATCAACAAGAACGATTCTTGGTTAGTGTAAACACTAATAATGGTATTGAAAGACTGAATGAATCCTTCAAATATCAGTACCTTAAAGATCGCAACAAAAGTAGCCTTTAATAGTGGAATGATTGCCATCCTTGTTGACGAATTTTTGCCTGAGAAGTATCAAAGGTAGGACATACAGCATGTCAATTAATGTAATTATTTGTTTCCTGTAACTGGAAATAACCTATAGATACAGAATTATACAAACAAATTTTTAGGCACATCTACTATGATCAGTAAAAGTAGAGTGGGAATACATGTAATTTATAAATGGAACAGAACATGAAATGGGTAAATATGTAAGAGAATAGTCAAACAGTATTACTCCCACGTAATATCAACATATATAGGTAAACCATGAAGGTGACAGTTTGTGGTGACTATAACACTAAAAAAATTTCTTTTTTCCTTAGTTAATGAAAATGACCTTCTGTATCACACCATTCTGATCAATGCCATGTACTGACTTTATATTGTATCTTTGTAACATTCTCTTTCATATTCGCGTCATTTTAATTTGACTTGCTTGTTGAATAGGTTGATTTTTACAAAATAATTATTAAAAAGGACATTTGGAAATTTCAGGTATGTGGAACTGAATACAAGGTTTAGTGGAGGATACAAGCGCTACAATGAAAGCATTCCAAAGTACCTCCAAGACAAACCACGCCAATTTCTAAAGCCCTGTTTGGAAAGGATCACAACCGCCAAAGACATCAGGCCACAATTTATCAAAGAGGGAGAGAAAAGAGGAGAGTTTGTCATTCAATCAACCCAGACAAAGAACACCCGGTATAATTTATCCTTTGGTGGAACTGATCATGATGGCATGCCACGATGCAGTTGCCCAGATTTTAGCTGCACTGGTTTCCTTTGTAAGCACTTCTTTGCTGTTTTTGAGCACAGGGATGACTGGAAATGGGATGCTCTACCTAAAAGCTATAGAGAAAACCCATATCTCTGTCTTGATGAAAAGGGCTTGTCATCTAACCCCATATCAATTGATGAAACAAGTCCTGATCCAGATTACTGGTTAAATTGCAATATTGATGATGAGACAACCATCACACTCTACGCAGAAAGTAAGAAAAGAATCCTGCAGTTTAACTTCTGGCTTGCTGATTCTGAGATCCATGCTGGTCGAAAACTTCTCAAGAAACAGCATCCCTTTATTACTGGTTTTCATTCCCCATCGATTCGAGGTAACTCAATTACGCCAGAGCCATCTGAATTTATTCAGATTATAAATACGGGTGTTTCTCACTGGGTTTGTCTATCAACCATTGGCTGTCCATCAGGAACTGTTAAGAAGTTGTACAATAGTATTAGATCCAGCTGCCCAAACAAAGTTCTCCTTGCACATGCATCAAGAATGCTTTTCACAAAGGAGCAGTCAATTACATTTGTTATTCCACCTGTCCAAGAACAGATTGGACCAAATGACCGTGGCATTTTTGCACTGGCTTTTGCAACATCACTTTGTCAAGGGATACCTCCAGAAGAAAGGGAGTATGATCAAGGTTTAATGAGATGGCATTATGTGGAATGTTTGGAACAGCTTGCCACTAAACCTTTTCCAGGTCACCAGAGACTACTCCCTCCAAATGGAAAGATGCTAGTGTATGAAGTGAAGGTGTTTTGCAGTTGCCGTATGCCAGAGGATGGCAAGAAGTAAATTGAGAGCAGCAAATGCCAAGAATGGTACCACCCAGCGTGCGAAAATATTCCTAGTTCACCAATGAAGAAAAAAAGCAAATGGTACTGCAGCACGTGCCAGAAATCTGAGCCAGCTTCAACTGAGAACAACCAACATTAATAATTTATTAACCCTAATGCAACTTTCTTTTATTGCATTTTTATTACTGTGAATATATTATGTATTATACCATTGAAATAAGAATTTTCCTAGGTATGCAACAATCACAAAAAAACAATCTTCACATATGTTATTAATGCATGTATCAGTGTTGGTTTTGGGCATAAAAAATTGCAATTTTTTGGGTCAAATTCTTCACCGTTGGGACTGGAAAATACTTTAAATCTGATAAAATATCCCTTTCTGGGCTTTAAAAAAAACGCAGTTTAGGGCAAAATTTGTGGTCAAAATCTCCAGATTGGGAACAAGGGGACAAGGGAAGAAGTGTTCAAATGCCCGTACCCCCCAACGCCCCCCACCTCTCCAGTGCAAAATATGTGACGAATATTCACAACCTTTTCAAACTTAAAAAAAGGTCTTTCAAAAGATATACCAGTTTTTTATGAGTTTTATTTTATTGTAAATTCTAAAAAAATCATCGATGGAAAATGATCATGATATTCAAGCGCAGATTTACTGTTTTATCCCAACGTCATTTTCATGTATGGAATGTTTTCCATACTTCAGAAAGACATTTTTAAGATCATATTTCAGTCTATTTCACAAAACAACAACTGAACAAGAAGCACTTCAGAACGCTTCCAGTGGTCAATTATAATAAGGCATTAGCGATGAAAATACGAAATATACTTACCATCAGTTCGCCAAGGTTAAATAAAACATAATTGCACGGTGAGTCGCCTCCGTTGAGTCTTTGTTCACGCGCCATGTTTAGTTTCCGATGTGTGCGCCGAAGCCGCGTCCGAAGATTCTGGATGACGTCACGTCATTCTGGAGTATGGAGATGAGTGCTAACCCATCTCTGGCAGCAGTCAACTTTAATAGGTTTTATCACCCTAAGGGGTACCAGTCCACCAATTTAACCCCCTTAAAGTATGGTCGGCCATTTGTTTCAAAATTATGACACGATATACGTCGTAACGTGCGGTTTTTTCCCACCTATACTTGCAATCATTCCTGCTATACTTGCGTTCTTTCCTGCTTTGTGGGTTTTTTATTCCCAAGTATATGACCATTTTCTTACAAACACTCATATATATGCGCACAAAAAAAGCCCATAAATATGCGTTACAAACAAGCATGTGTATATGAGGTCACAGAAAGTCGTCGTATAAGAGGCACCGAATTATACCTTCGGCAAAAAAACTCGTTCATGTACGATGGAGCTGAAAAGTAACTTCAGTTTGAATCAAGCATGGCCGCAATGGCCACGTTAATTTCGAGCAAGGTTTGGTTCTTATTCATTCATGATTGCCCTCACAGTAGTGGTGGTTGTTGGCTCCCCGACAACGGATTTGTTGGAATCCGTCCTAACAGAGAACTCTCTGACACATGCGATAAAGTGTTTACGACTGGCTTTGTTGCTAGCTAAGTCAATCTTATTAGCGTCCGACAGGCAAAACACGACTATTAAGATGATGTGAAACATGACCTTAGCTTGAGAGTCTGCTTGATCAGATCGGTTTTTCTTCTTTTCTTTCTCTCGCGCGAATTATCACTTCTCCTCCACGAACACGTTCTAAGCCTCCTAGTCTCGAAGCTTTTTATTCTTTCCCTCCATTCACTCTATAAATTCCATGTTTCTTGTTTTCTATTCTCACACTTAAATAGCCTTCCACCTGCCTCTCTTTCCTTGCTCCTCCACTGTAGTTGTGATTTTCATGGTTATCTACCACTGACTTTAAAAAGAAACTAAAACTTTACTTTGTAAGCCTGAATTGAATTAGCGCAGGATTATCATAATTTATTGTTAGTTTATTTGTCAATAGTACTTCTAGTTTTATCTCTGCTATAGGACTGCTTGCATTACTTAATTTAAGTTTTGTATCTTGTTTTAGATTTGTAATTTAGCCTTCAGTCTTCACTTCTACATAAGATAATTTCTGTCATTTTGACCACAGGCCGTATAAGCGCCCGGCTTTGGCTTACTGAGTTTTTGTTTTTGTCCGGGAATGTGGTTATTTCCTACTATGTCCGGGGAAAGGGTACTCCCTATGATGGGCGATTACGGGGAGGCTCTGCCCGAAATCCCGGTGAGGTACTCAACAAATATTTGTACGGGGAGGCTCTACCCCGAGGTCCAACCCCTTACCTGTCGAGAAAGCGTTCTATATTTGTGACTGATTCCTATTTTATGACAGTGCGGGTTTCCGGCAGTTTATTTAGGGATACAAAGTTCTAAGCAAGGTATGTGAAAGGAGTACCATTTGTCAATAGAAGGTATAAGAAATCGTGAAAAATAGTATATAAAAGGTTAAGGGGTGGGCCTTCGCCGTATAAAAATTTGTTGAGCATAGAGTGAATGGAGGGAAAGAATAAAAAGCTTCAAGACTAGGAGGCTTAGAACTTGTTCGTGGAGGAGAAAAGGTGACAATTCGCGCGAGAGAGAGAAAAGAAAAAAACCCGATCCGTTCAAGCAGACTCTCAAGGTCATGTTTCACATTATCACACGAGCTTTTGAGTCGTGTTTGGCCTGTCAGACGCTAATTTCTAACTGAATCGATCGTTGTTTCGGTCAGCATTCGTGAAATAGCGTACGCAGTCTCTCAAGAGACAATCCACGGATTCCAACAAATCCGTTGTCAGGGAGCCAACAACCACCACTACTGTGAGGGCAATGAATAAGAACTAAACCTTGCCCGAAATTAACGCGGCCATTGCCGCCATGCTTGATTCAAACTGAAGTTACTTTTCAGCTCCATCGTTCATGAAAGGGGTTTTTTGATGACGGTATAATTCGGTGCTTCTTATACGACGACTTTCTGTGACTCCACATAAACATGCTTATTTGTAACGCAGATGGGCTTTTTTTGTGCGCATATATATGCGTGTTTGTAAGAAAATGGTCATATACTTGGGAATAAAAACCCCACAAAGCAGGAAAGAACGCAGGTGTGCGTGGCAATAAAACGCACGTATATCGTGTGGCAGGAATGATTGCCAGTATACGTGGGAAAAAACCGCACGTATATCGTGTCATAATTTTGAAACAAATGGCCGACCATATAAAAGGTACGACGAGCACCCCTGTCACTTTTATAATATAGGGAAGTACCCCACCCCGGGATAAATTGTCTCATCATACGTTGGAATATGTACAATTTCGGGCGCTTAAATCATTTTTACTGCATGGATGCATTGAGTTGATCAAAGGCACGTCCCATGTAAGGAATCCAAGACGGTCTTGGATTCTGGATTCCACGCCGTGGATTCCGGATCCCAGGTGCTGGATTCATTGGATGTGAAATATTCACAGTCCGGGGGGTTGGCGGCACTCAAGGGAAGTTTTGATAGATAAGTGGCGCCGAAGCCCTCAAACCATGACCCTGTTCAACATTTCGCTACCCTGTTTAACCCTATTCAGACCGGGCTTTTTTTCGCGTCTTACAACCAGGGGTGGTGGGGGTCTCCGGAGGCCCCCCATTTATAATTAAAAAACAGCTCGACCACCTAAATTGCACAGCGCATTTCCAACATGTAGGCAAACTTGATTGACAGAATGACGTAATTTGACGTCACTATGACGTCATATTCATAAATCTATTGGCAGAATCCGTCAATGTTTCCCCTCGAAACGGAAAAAATAATGGGAGGTTTCTGACAAAATCAGGAAGTTTAATATCAGTCATATATCATAATGACATCTTTATTTTACTATTAAAAAAGAGTCTGGAATTGAGAAAATCGTGACAAAAAGGATTTGTCTATAAAAGGATTCTGAGGAAACAAAAAAATCTGCAAGCGTTGAAATTCTGATGACGCCAGCTTAAGATTCAACTGGTCTAAAAAGGGTTAGTAATAAGACAAGGGACTAATTTCATGACCCTAATTCATTTCGTTTCAAACAGAATTAAGAAACGGTCCAGATAAGAACGATAGCAACAACGGCAACGAACGTGTTGGAATGCCAAAAAGGTGCTAACTTTTCTATTGTCTGTACTTCTGATTGGCTTAAACAGCAAAAGTTAACAAAACTTCATAAAGCGGTACATATATTCATCCTTACTTTCCAACCATCTTCCATATAACAAAATCTGNTATCAGTCATATATCATAATGACATCTTTATTTTACTATTAAAAAAGAGTCTGGAATTGAGAAAATCGTGACAAAAAGGATTTGTCTATAAAAGGATTCTGAGGAAACAAAAAAATCTGCAAGCGTTGAAATTCTGATGACGCCAGCTTAAGATTCAACTGGTCTAAAAAGGGTTAGTAATAAGACAAGGGACTAATTTCATGACCCTAATTCATTTCGTTTCAAACAGAATTAAGAAACGGTCCAGATAAGAACGATAGCAACAACGGCAACGAACGTGTTGGAATGCCAAAAAGGTGCTAACTTTTCTATTGTCTGTACTTCTGATTGGCTTAAACAGCAAAAGTTAACAAAACTTCATAAAGCGGTACATATATTCATCCTTACTTTCCAACCATCTTCCATATAACAAAATCTGGTCTCAGTTTGAATAACAAAGAAATCCTATGTGGGGAACGTGTAAAATTATAAACTTTTCTTGGCTATTGTTTTCAACTCTTGTGATTGGTCAAAATCTTTTAACACAAAAAAACACCCTTTCAAAGTTGAGTGTAAATGCATTTTATTGCGTAAACGGCCTTCGTGTAGGTTTATGCATTCTCTGTGTAAAAATGAGAACATTCCTATGTGGGGAAAGCACCGTTGCCGCATAACAAGAGAAATTGCTATCCACCTTACCCGGATCATTACTTAAATAACTTCTTGTGGCCGTAAAACTAACATCATGGACTAGATTTTAAAAAATAATAATAATTTGGTTCTGTACAGCACTGCAAACTATCCCCGACTTATAAACCCCGATCGCAAATGATCTCCAAATGGAACAAGAAAACAAGTGAAGCAAAATAGCACGTGAACTGGTTGGTTACAAATTAAGCCAAGTGGCTCTGGGGACGAGAATGAGCAATACAATGTCTTGCTTAGTCGATCAGTGGTTTATAACATAACATAAACATGACTGTTGACAATTTCGATATAATGTTTTGAAGAAGAAAAAAATTCTCAAATCCGATTGATCTCAGTATTAACTTGAAAGTCTCTGAAATCGACCCAAAATAAAAATTTGCTGTGAACGCTCGTACGGCTTAGGAGAATTATTTGCTGATGATGGGAAAAGTAATTAATAACGCTTACTCGTTCCTTCTTTTCTCCTTCCCTGATTTTGTATCTTTAATTGACACTGTTTCCAGCAGTAAAGGCGTCTGCCGTAATAAACAGAGTACCACTTGAAAACCTGTACAGAGCGATAAATTCAGGGGTCCGAGTCTTTCAGTATCAGTCCTCGGCATAAAATGAAAGAGGAGTTTCCTGTCTTAAATTTTCACTGCAGCAACGAAACATCTATCGGCTTGAAAGAAAGGAGACGTAATTGCCAGAGCAAGACGGTTGTTTATCGTTTTATTCATTTCGTTGTTTTACGCATTGTTCAATTGCAAGTTCTCGAGCAATTCACCCTCCATGGCTAAGATCCCATCCATTCGTCTAAATATGCGGTCTGGGGATCATTTTCGGTACTAGTGTGCAGTTCCACATAGTATACCGCTCATCAACAACCTAGCTTCACACCCTTTTTAACGCTTCCGGTCTGACCGAAAGGAGACCCTGTTATAGACGCTAAATACTGACTATTTAAGACCTAGGACCCTGAAAACCATACCCTGTATTCAGCGGTGCAATCACCTTTAGGCGAAGGAAGTATATGATCGATTAAGAGCAAATTAAGGTTCTTTCGACTAGTCCCCTCTCTCGGCTTACACCCAGAATCATCTTTCACCTGCATGTTTCGAATTTTTGGGAGTGCTTCTGCGTATCTTATGAGATAGGATGTGTCATAAATGACCAGCCGTAGCATAATTAGATCCTAAATTGAGCGTTGTATTTCTATATAGGAAACATGTCTGACTTAGCTGGCTCAGCAATTGCACAGGGGCCGTTTGTTGGCCGAATCGATTGTTGGTCAGAGTGGAGACCGACGAGTGAGGAACCGCTCTGGTTACTTCTCTCAGGAGCTACTGATCCACCAAAAGAAATTGGAATTTCTAAGAGAAGAACTCGGGATGTTCAAGGAGATAGGAATGGCGCGTTTTTAGCTGGTGTGACTCGTGATTTAGTTAACATGGAAGACGTGGTTGGAACAAAGCTGTTCAACACTGTTAAAGATCTTTATCTAACTAAGAAGGCGGCTCTCGGACATATCACAAGGCTCTTTGAAAAATGCAAGCACACGAAGGCCCATCCTATGCTGTACTATACAGGGCATGGTGAGATTGGTACTGGAAACTGGTGCTTTGCGGATGGGACAATCAGTATCCAAGAGATTTTTGACATGTTGCCTGGAGGCTGTTATTACCCAATGATCTTCAGTGATGCCTGTTACAGTGGCCACTGGGCAAATTTCTGTCTGGAGAAAGGTATTTCTGGTTTCCACTGTCTTGCAGCATGTCCGGAGTATTCGACGGCTTTTGATACCAAAGGTGTGTATGTTTTACATTCTTTAATTAATCTGAAATCAAAACTATTATGTTTACATTACAGCGGTGTATAATTAGAAGGAAGGTATTGTGCAAAAGGTGTTTCGATATAGGATACGAGCTGGACGCGCTAGGCACTACGCACTCGGCTACTATACGCGCTTCGTTATTATTTTTAAGAAAGCCGTGAAGCTTGCGAGGAAGATTTAGTGCAATTTTCCATTGTTTTAGAACCAGCAGTTAATTGGCTGCGGCCGCATCAGGGGAATTAATTGAACCAGTTTTTATTGAATAATTAACAATTATTCTTTGAAATCGAGTTAATTAATATTCCCAAAGCCACTATTCAACGAGATTGAAAAGAATAATTTTTTTCAGTAAATACACACGAAGTGATCTCGACAAAATCACAAAGGATTCAAACAATTAAAAAGTACGATGGATCAAATCATGCGTGAAAATTTTGCAAGTAACTAATTAAAATACATGCTCGAAAGTTAGATCTTTGCAGAATATTCAAACATGGCAATTCGCAAGTTTCTCACTTCTCAGACAACAGCGTAATGGCTTAAATGGAACCGTTAAAAGTTTGAACTGTTTTCTTACCCGAGAAGAAAAGTAGTGTTTTGTTATTTTCTGTTAACGCGCCAACTTTAAAGCTAAAAAAGGTTTGTTGCTTCTGACGACACTGCGGCGGCTCGTTTGCTCGAGGTAAGGCGTCGTTTTCCTGTAGCATTTTTTGTCCTAATCACTTGAAACGTAGAGGTTGTGCAAATATTTGCTGTTATCTTTGTTTGTCATAAATAAACTTCGATTTTCGGGCAATTTTTTTTTCTTGTCTGAAAACGCTGAGTTCACGAAAGGGCCTCTTTGACTCGAATAAACGCGAGAGTTTAATAAACAGTCCATCGAGTAAAAAATTCAGCTATAACAGTAAATGGAAAAACCTCATTTTGAATCCTTCGAATTCTTTTCTTGCCTTAAAAAAAGTCAAGCCTAGGATTTTGATGACTTTTGAAAGATCGTTTTCTCGAAACAAAAATAGGAAAAGCGCCGAGCTCACCCATTATCCACTCGCTCGGAGGTGAATATAGTCCGAGATAGCGAACCAATCAGGGCCCAGTTGCTCGAAGCATGGTTAGCGTTAACCAGCGTTTAATACCTTGACAACGTATTGGTTTTGATACTGCTCAACCAATGGTTAAAGCTAACCATGCTTTGAGCAACTCAGCCCTGATTGCTTAAATCACTAATATCACTGAGTGTGTGTATATACTAACGAACGAAGTTGTTTTTTAACCCTAGTAATAGAGCAATATATGAAAAGAAAGCCCGATGTAACCAAACCTCGTGATAGCGAACAAATTTTGCCAGTATTTTGGCCCTTTGTTATACGACATTCCACACTATAACGAGGTTTCGTTATTTCGAGGTTTGACTCAGAGGTGAAGAAAATCGTTCTTTGTTCCGATGACTTCGTTAAATAGAGGATCGTTATATCAGGGTTCCGTTCTACTGACATTATGCACTGTTCAAATTAACTCGTAGATCAAGGAGGGGATCTAACACTGTTCATGACTGGAAAGAAACTACGCCCAAGAACAGAGCCCATGTATAGTGGCGGAAATTTAAATGACTTCCGCATAACCAATGGATATGATACAGTCGATTACACTGATTTTATCAGTAGCCATATTCATTTTAATAGTCAAGACATTTTGATTTCCCAGAGCGTGCAAAATGGCTTCTTCTCAGGAATTTTTGCGAGTTCAGAACTTTACAATCCAAGACCTACCACAAGTTGGGGAATTGGAAGTAACTACGACCAGTTTCTTGTGCTCACTAATGAGGAATGTAAATGGGTGAATGGTAAGTCAAAGGTTATCTACTCCCTTGCCTGTGATGAACAGTTTGGGTTCGGAGTGTTCTTCATGGAAGGCTATGGTACAGATCAATTCATTTTAAGAAACACGGATGATATAAAGGAGAAATGGGATGAGGGTTTTAAGATTACTTCATGTTCTGCCCTAAATTCAACTTTTTACATCATCATGACAAAGGACACTAAGGAATACCATGAAAAACCGCAGATATGGTTTACACGTAGTACCTGGAAAGAAACAAATGATGAAATACAGGAGGGATACCATGAAGGAAAAGCTATCACTGGAATATGTTATTCCAGTGGGCTGAAGCTGTATTTTGTTGTGATGACAGCCTCAATGGGAAGACAGCGCTCCAGGTGGTTCGACAAGACTGATACAATAGCCATGGGTGATTGGGAAAATGAGAAATATGATCAGGGATTCCATCCTACTATCATCTTCAAGGATCCAACTGACAACAAAACTTTAAGTGTGATGACTGAGGATAAAAATAGATCGAGTTATTTAAGTCGGGATGGCTATAAATTAAGGTAGATTCTTTTAGTTTAATCCAGTTGAATGAAGTTGCATTGAAAAGAAGACGATTGCGAAGTTTTCATTTTCCTTGTTGATTTCATTCAGAGTTGATTTCAATAATGAATCCGATACTTGCTGTCTGAAAAAGCAGAATTTCTTCCTATGAAAGCTAACCGGCAAAATAAACTAGAACGAGTGCTTTCCTTTATATTATTAAGTTGTGCCCGGCATGCCGACGAAGGCTTGTTTTACAAACCGAAATATCAGTGGGGAACATGACCAAAAACGTCAAGGTTTGTTTGTTTGTTTTTTTTACTTTATATTTTTTTTGTTTTTGGTCTTCGTCGTGAGGATTTCAGTTTGCTGTTTTTTAGTTTTTACTGATCCAGATCCAGGTAGTAGAAATCCAGTTTCCCTTTTAGGGTGCGGCTACTGAACTCTTTCGTTTGTTTTGGTGGCTTTCCTGTTGTATTTTAAAGTTACAGATTGCCCTCAGCACCTTCAGGCGTGCAACTTAATTTCATTTTTTTATTATTATTTTTAATGCAGTTGTTCTTTTTTGTTGCTGCCAGCTGTGAAATCGTTAGACAGTTGATAGTTGATTTAGACAGAGTTGTCCCCAGGACATGATTACTGCATCTTTAGTGTTAACTAGAAAATACAATGTCCGCTGTTTTACAGCAAACCCAGGAATAGAGCTAACCGAGCTTCAAACAACTCGGCCCATGAAATAATTAGTGTCCATACTTATAATTGCAAGAGATTCCGTTGCAAGAGGTTAAACGTGAAACTGTTTTAACTACGTCATCCTTGTCCAATTCTGTGGTTCTTTTACGGACCAGATGCCGTTGCAGTATACTTGTAGTTCCTGTATGGTTTGTAGCTCTTAAGGGACCGGTCATTATTTATGTTGGGGGGGGGGGGGGGGGGATTTTTTTGTTTTAGGATGAAAGAACGGGCCCCCCCCCCTTAAGCCCTTGGGTAATGCTTTCCCCACCCCCAAATTACTTTTAACAAGACATGACCCACCCCCAACCCCCTGCATTCTATACCCCTAAAAAGATTGCCTCTTATACGAATGCAAACAGCATAACTAG